GACACCCCTTCTCGACCATATGCCGAGCCTTCACATAAGAGATAACTCTGCTGGCAGAATGGCAAATATTCCCTCTCCACTCTAATCGAGGCAACCCCTGCAAGGCTAAGGTCACCGTCTTGGTGTGACAATCTAATATAGCATGATAAGGTGACAGCCAATCCATACCCAGTATGACATCAAAATTAACCATGTCGAGAAGTAGAAGATTTACACGAGTCTCAAGACTCTCAATGGTGACCACACATGAACGATAAAGACGATCTAACACAATAGCATCTCCCACTGGTGTGGACACATACACAGAAGCACTCAAAGAATCACGAGGCACAACCAAATAGAAAGCAAAATAGGATGACACATAGGAGTAAGTAGATCCCGGATTAAATAGAACTGAAGCATCTCTACTGCAAACTGAAACAGTACCTGTGATAACAGTGTCAGATGACTCAGCCTCAGGCCTGGCTAGGAAAGCATAACACCGGGGCTGGGCCATACTACCCTGAACTACGTCCCTGGGACGACCTCTAGCTAGCTGGTCTTTACCTCTAACAGTATGGCCTCTACCTCTGGCTGGTTGAGCAGGTGGTGCAACAACTGGAGCCAGGACCATGGCACGTGAACTCTGATGTTGTGAGCTGCCCATTGCTCGAGGGAAAAATCTAGCAATGTGCCTCGGATCACCACAAGTATAACATAACCTCGGCTGCTGTGATTGCTGACCCCGAAACTGACCTTGTCGACCTGAATAACCACCCTGATAACTCTGGAGTAGAGGTGCACTAATAGGAGCTGGTGGTGCACTATAGGTTAGCTGGTTAGAATAATGCATCTGAGGGCCAAGACCAACTGAGGCATCGTGGAATGCCTAGAGCACTGAATGAAACGGCCTGGGAGGATGGCCTCTACCAAAAGTACTCCTGCCTCTAGATGAGGTACCGCTGGACTCACCGGAATGATGAGGTCTCTTGTCAAACCCCTGACCTCCCTGAGTAATAACCATTTCGACTCGTCTGGCGACATTAGCAGCCGCCTAAAAAGAAATCTCACTCCTAGTCTCCTTAGCCATCTGCAATCTGATAGGCTGAGCAAGTCCATCAATAAACCTCCTCACCATTTCTCTCTCGGTGGGAAGCAGAAGAATGGCATGACGGGCCAAATCCACAAAACGAGTCTCATACTAAGTAACAGTCATACTGCCCTGCTGGAGACGCTCAAACTGACGGCTATGCTCCTCTCTCAATGTGATAGGCAGAAACTTCTCTATGAAGAGCTTAGAGAACTTGTCCCAAGTAAGAGCAGGCGGCCCAGTTGGTCTGGTCAACAAGTAATCTCTCCACAATTTCTTGGCGGAACCATTCATCTGAAATGGAGCAAAATCGACCCCATTGGTCTCCATTATACCCATGTTCCGTAGAACCTGGTGACAACTGTCAAGATACTTCTGGGGATCCTATGAAGGAGCACCACTGAAATGAACAGGAAAGAACTTGGTAAACCTATCCAATCTCCATAAAGCCTCAGAAGACATAGCTGGCCCTACGACCTGTGCCGCAATAACCGGCTGAACTAATCCGACTAGCTGAGCTGCTGGAGCCTGATACTGGGGAGCTATCTGCTCTAGAGCGGGAGTGGTGGGAGTCTGGGCTCCTTCTCCAGCCTGAGAGACTGCTGGTGCCATGGGAAATGCGCCAGTCTGGGCCACACTCTCCATAAGGCCCACCAAACGGACCAAAGCATCCTGAAGTACTGGGTAGCAATGAACCCCTTCGGAACCTGAGCTGGTCCGACAAGAACAGTCTGGGCTGGAACCTCCTCGTCAAGCTCTGTCTGAGGCTCCACTGCTGGAGCTGCTGCTCGGGCCCTAGTCTGACCCCTGCCTCGGCCTCTGGCACGGACTCGGCCTCGACCTTTGCCCCGCGTAGGAGCTATCACTGGAGGCCCTGGCTGCTGCTCAGCTGAGGAAGCGGTACGTGTTCTCGCCATCTGCAAGAGAATAGAGTAGAAGAGTTCAATCAGTATTGAGAAAGCAAAATCGCACGACCGAGAAGAATATAAGTGAAACTTGTTCCTAAACTTCATAGCCTTTGGAAGATAAGCACATACGTCTCCGTACCGATCCTCCAGACTCGACTAAGCTTGCTCGTGAATCGTGAGACCTAGGCAACCTAGTGCTCTGATACCAACTGTCACGACCCAAAATTTTTCACCGACGGGACCTTGATGGCGCCTAACATTTCACTTGCTAGGCAAGCCAACGTTAGAGAATCATTAAACCAATTCCTTATTCCTATTTAGTAATTAACAATAATTAACTAAGATAAAATATAATAAGTGCAGAATATCATAAAACTGTATTAATTACTGCCACCCGGATTTGGTGTCACAATTCACAAGTATTCTAGAATTTACTACAAGTAATAGTCTGAAAGAAATACAACTGTCTGAATGAAAGAAACAACAGGGCATAAAAGATAGACGGGGACTTCAAGGTCTGTGAACGTTGACAGATCTACCTTGAGTCTCCGAACAGTGGACCAATAACAAAATCTCGATCAACCTGAGTCGGTATCAAAATTTGCACAGAAAGTGCAGAGTGCAGCATCAGTACAACTAACCCCATGTACTGGTAAGTGTCGAGTCTAACCTCGATGAAGTAGTGACGAGGCTAAGGCAAGGCACCTACAAATCAACCTGTACAATTTAACAGTGTATATACAAATAATAGAAATGAAGAACTAAACAGGAATTGTCGGGAGGGGAACATACTGAGGGGAATACAAGATAAAGAACTACAATAGAATGATCACCGGAGTAGTCAATATACCATGAATCAAAAGGAATAGTGAATACAGTAAGGAAAAATGCATGGCATCACCATTCGTGCTTTTACTCTCAATCTCACCATAAAATTAATAGAAACGGCACGACATCACCCTTCGTACATTAACTCTCATATCATGGCACGACATCACCCTTCGTGCATTAACAATCACAATATGGCACGGCATCACCCTTCATACTTTTACCCTCATATCATGGCACGGCATCACCCTTCGTGCATTAACACTCACAATATGGCACGACATCACCCTTCGTGCATTAACACTCTCCCTTACCATAATGCAATGCATAAATAATAACAGGGAGATAGAATAACAAGTAAAAACCTTACTTCAACATTTCGTTTTATAATATCAATCTCAAATTTGAAATAAAAACTCAATTATCACAAGAAAATCCGTAAACATGAAAAGAACGATAAATTGAATAGTACTAGTATAACACTTAGCAATTTGGCATAGGAAAGAGACAATATAAGGGGAAAAAAGAAACATGGAAAACAGATAAATTGGCAACGCATAAGTACTCGTCACCTCACATATACGCCGCTCACATGGATTTCACTTAGCAAGTAATCTAAGGTTCCTAATTTCCTCAAGTCAGGGTTAGACACAACACTTACCTCGCTTTGAAGGCCACTTAATTCTCAATCACAGCTTTTTCTTTGGAATTCACCTCCAAACCACTCGTATCTATTCAAAAATGACTCAATAATATCAAATATTACTAAAGGAATCAATTATATTGCATAAATTAAATTTTCCAAATTTTCCTCCAAAAAGTCGAAAAATCGACCCCGGGCCTGCTTGGTCAAAACCCGAGGTTCGGACCAAAATTCATTTACCCATTCACCCCCGAGCCCGAATATATAATTGGTTTTGGAATTCGACCTCAAATTGAGGTCTAAATTCCCAAATTTCCGAAATTCCTAGTTTCTACCCTAACCCCTAATTCTACCATGAAAGCTATAGATTTTTGGTTGAAATCTTGTTATAAGATGTAAAAGATTGAAAGAAAAGAGTTAGGAATCACTTACCTATGATTTGGGGAAGATTTGGTCTTTGGAAAATCGCCTCTTTAGGTTTAGGGTTTTGAAAATATGAAGAATGGATAAAAAATCTCGTCTAAGTCCCTTTTACTCAGCTGCAGGTGTCGCAATTGCAACATGAGCTTTGCAAATGCGAAGCTCGCAAATACGAAGGAACAATCGCACCTGCGATGCCCTTCAGAATCCCGCTACCTTCGCAAATGCGAGGAAAGTGTCGCATTTGCGACCACTGAACCTCGCAAATGCGAGTAGATGTTCGCATTTGCGAATCTGCCCTTCCCAGACTCCCTTAGCAATTGCGAAGGTAACCTCGCAAATGCGAGAACTGCTGGCCCAGGCTTCTGATCGCAATTGCGATGAAAGCCTCGCAATTGCGGACCCTATTATGTTCGCATTTGCGATGCCTAATCTCGCAATTGCGAGATCAAAGGCCTGCAACAGGTTCAGTTATACCAGCAAAATTTTCTAAGTTCAAAACATCCCGTGACCTATCTGAAACTCACCCGAGCCCTCGGGGCTCCAAACCAAACATGCACACAAGTCTACAAACATCATACGAACTTGCTCGCGTGATCAAATCGCCAAAATAACACCTAAAACTACTAATTTAACACTAAATCCAATGAAATTCTCAAGAACACTTTAAAATTAATATCTTCTCAACTGGACGTCCGAATCACGTCAAATCAACTACGTTTCTTACTAAATTTCACAGACAAGTCTTAAATATCATAATGAACCTTTACCGGGCTCCGAAACCAAAATACGGACCCGATACTAACAATGTCAAATATCAATCAATTCTTAAAAATAATTAATTTCCAAACTTTTAATTTTCATCAAAAATTCATAACTCAAGGTAGGGACCTCCGATTTTAATTCCAGACGTACGCCCGGGTCCCATAATTCGATACGGACCTACCAGGATTGTCAAAGTACGGATCCGGGCCCGTTTACCAAAAATATTTACCGAAGTCAACTAAAATCAACTTTTAAGGCAAAAATTCTTATTTTCATTAGTTTTCAACATAAAAGCTTTCTAGAAAACTGTCCGGACTACGCACGCAAATCGAGGAGGCTAAAAATAAGATTTTAAAGGCTTAAGAGTGCAGATTCGAGTTCTAAAATATAAGATGACCTTTTGGGTCATCACATATATTAGCTGGGATAGCAAAAACTTCAACAAAAATTACGATGGTAATTCAAAACCCCAACTGGTCAATGCAACAAGAAATTTTAAGGCATGTAAAAAGGAAGTTCAGAAACATGAAATTCAGCTAAAATTCCAATAAAAACACTTACTTTAGGAGTAGAATAGCCAAGTTTTGGGTTGAATCCTAACTGTGACTCAATATCAGCATGGCGGCGGTGGGCGGAGGGAGTCAAATCCGGCGAGGGTGGTCTGAGGAACCTTTCAAAAATAGCCATAATAAGGAACATAGAGATGAGAATAGCAGTGGCAACAAAACCGAAAGAAACAGCATTCACAGCACTCACCAAAAAACGACCTCAAACCACCCTAAAAAAGAAAACTTACCGGAGATGGAGAGGAGTCCTCATGCCGACGACGGCCCCTTGGGTTGAGTGCCGACGACGCCGGTGAAGCGGGAATTTGCTGAGAAAGAGAAAGAGAAAGGTGAAAGAGAAAGGCGTGAGTGAGACGGAGAAAGAGAAAAGAGTAAAAAAAGTTAGGGCTTTTGCTGAGAAAGGCGTATTTATTGATAGAAAAAAAAAATCTAGATAATGACCCATAATTTTTGTGAGAAAGACGTGTTTATTTAGAATCTACCATGTAATAATATAAACAAAAATTAATGACCCATCATTTTGGTGTAATTATTAATTTATAAGCTAATTAATTATCACTGATACACTTCTACGTAATGTAATTACCAATTTACAATGTAATCGAACCTAACATTACTTAAGGATACTAGCTAATTAATTATTAATATTAATTAACGATGCAACTAATATATTTCTACTTACTTTAGTTATCAATTTAAGATAATTAAATAATCACTAAGATTTTTCACATATACCATTAATAAACTTCTACTTAGTGTATAATTAACAATGTATAAGCTAGTAAATTACTAACATTACTTAAGGATATATCCTTAGTGTGTATNATATATAACAATAACAACAACCCAGTAAAATTCCACCAGTGGGGTCTGGGGAGGGTAGAGTGTACGCAGACCTTACCCCTACCCCAGCGGGGATAGAGAGGCTATTTCCGGGAGACCTTCGGCTCAGAGACAATAGATATGTGACAACAAAACACAAAAAAATAATCAGCAATGTGAGAGACAGCAAATAAATGAAAAGCAGTAACACAAATATTATGCAAAAGTGTGAAACACAACATAAATCGCTGGCAGTGCTAGACAAAACACTATCATACTCGTCGGTACAAAGAGGGAAACCGGGACAAATAGGAAAACCGCTCGACTACCCTTTAACCTACAACCCTAATGCTCGATCTCCACACCTTCCTATCAAGAGCCATGTCCTCGAAAATATGGAGCCGCGCCATGTCCTGTCTGATCACCTCGCCCCAATACTTCTTGGGCCTCCCTCTAGCTCTTCTCGTACCTGTCAAAGCCAACCGCTCACACCTCCTAACCGGGGCATCTAGGCTTCTCCTCTGCACGTGTCCGAACCATCTAAGTCGCGTTTCTCGCATCTTGTTGTCCACCTGAGCCATGCCCATCCTCTCCCGAATATCTTCATTCCTAATCTTATCCAGCCTAGTGTTCCCATACATCCATCTTAACATCCCCATTTCTGCTACTTTCATCTTCTGAATATGTGAATTCTTGACTGGCCAACACTTATCCCCATACAACATGGTCGGTCTAACCACCGCTCTATAGAACTTACCTTTGAGTTTCGGTGGCACATTCTTGTCACACATGACTCCAGATGCTAACCTCCATTTCATCCACTCCACCCCAATACGATGCGTAACATTCCCGTCGATCTCCCCATCTCCCTGGATAATTGACCCTAAGTAATTAAAACTTTCTCTCTTTAACCTCCATTTCATCCACTCCACCCCAATACGATGCGTAACATTCCCGTCCATCTCCCCATCTCCTTGGATAATTGACCCTAAGTAATTAAAACTTTCTCTCTTGAGGATGACCTATGAGTCAAGCCTGACTTCCACAGCCGCTTCCCCCGTCACGTCGCTGAAATTACATTCCATATATTCCGTCTTAGTCCTACTTAACTTGAAACCTTTAGACTACAGGGCCTGCCTCCATACCTCCAGTCTCCCATTAATGCCACCTCGCGTCTCATCAATCAGAACTATATCATCAGTGAACAACATACACCATGGCACCTCTCCTTGGATATGGTGTGTCAGTGCGTCCATCGCCAGGGCAAATAAGAACGGGCTGAGCGTAGATCCTTGGTGTAACCCCATAACCACCGGAAAAGGCTCTGAGTCACCTCCCACAGTCCTAACCCGAGTCATAGCTCCATCATACATATCCTTTATCGCCCTAATGTAAGCCACCGGCACACCTTTCACCTCCAGACACCTCCAAAGGACATCCCTGGGGACCTTGTCATACGCCTTCTCTAGGTCAATAAACACCATATGCAAATCCCTCTTCCTATCCCTATATTATTCCACCAACTTCCTGATAAGGTGGATAGCTTCCGTAGTAGAACGAATCGACATGAACCCGAACTGGTTTTCCGATATAGACACCGCCCTTCTTATCCTCACTTCCACCATCCTCTCCCAAACTTTTATTGTATGACTTAGTAACTTGATACCCCTATAGTTGTTACAATTCTGGATATTATCTTTGTTCTTGTACACTGGAACCATTGTACTCCACTGCTACTCATCAAGCAACCTCTTCGTTCTGAAGATAACACTAAACAACCCAGTCAGCCACTCCAAGCCTGCTCTACCCGCAGATCTCCAAAACTCTACTGGAATCTCGTCTGTTCCGGTTGCTTTGCCCCGACTCACCTTACCCATCGCACGCACGACCTCCTCGACCTTAATACACCTACAATACCTAAAGTTGCGGTGGCTCTCGGAGTGCCCCAATTGCCGTAACACGATGTTTCCATCCCCCTATTCATTCAGAAGTTTATGAAAGTACGACTGCCGTCTTTGCCTAATTTGGGCCTCTTCCATCAATACTCGACCATCCTCGTCTTTCATGCACCTCACTTGATCTAGGTCGCGAGCCTTCTTCTCTCTCGCTTTGGCCAACCGAAATAACTTCTTGTCCCCACCTTTTCCCCCAAGTTCCTCATACATCCGACCAAATGCAGCAATCTTAGCCTCTGTGACCGCTAATTTCGCCTCCTTCCTAGCCTCCTTATATCTTTCTCTGTTCGCTCTCCTCTGATCCTCGTCGGTGCTCTCTACTAACTTAATGTAAGCCGCTTTCTTGGCTTTCACTTTACTTTACTTTGGATCACGTCATTCCACCACCAGTCACCTCGGTGCCCACCAGAGTAATCATTTGAAACTCCTAACACCTCTCTCGCTGCCTCCCTTATACAGTCTGTCGTCGTCGTCCACATAGCACTAGCGTCCCTACCACTTTTCTAGGCACCCATAGTCGTCAGCTGCCCCTCCAACTCCCGCACATTATCCTTAGACAAAGCTCCCCACCTGATCCTCGACTGACCCCGTACAAACCTCTTTTTCCTCTTCATCAAGATACCGACGTCTATCACCAGGAGCCTATGTTGAGTTTTGAGGTTCTCACTCGGGATCACCTTGCAATCCTCACACAACCCCCTATCGTACCTCCTGAGGAGGAGATAGTCAATCTGAGTCTTAGCCACCATACTCCGAAAAGTAACCAAATGTTCCTCCCACTTCGGAAACATAGAGTTCAAGATCACCAACTCAAAAGCTCTAGCGAAATCCAACAGTGAGGTACCACCCCCGTTCCTATCACCAAAGCCGAAGCCACCGTGCACCTCACCATAGCCACCAGCAGACGACCCAATATGACCATTGAAATCCCCTCTTATGAATAGCTTCTCTGTAGGCGTAATACCTCGCACCACCTCATCCAGCGCATCCCAGAAGCGCCTTTTAACCTCCTCGTCCAAGCCCGTTTGTGGCGCGTAAGCGCTAATGACATTCAGAGTGCTCCCTCCAACTACTACCTTAATTGACATCAATCTATCACTCACCTGCCTAACTTCTACCACCGACTCTCTGAGCTCCCTATCCACCAAAATGCCCACTCCGTTCTTGCCCTTCACGACTCAGGAGAACCACAATTTATACCCGTCTACATTCCTCGCCTTCGATCCTACCCACCTAGTCTCCTGCACACACGCTATATTGACCCTCCTCTTCTGGAGAATCTTCGCCAGCTCTATAGACTTACCTGTCAACGTCCCTATATTCCATGATCCAATTCTCAACCTATGAGCGACCATGTTCCCTTTACCCCCTCTGGGCCCCGTCCCACCCCCTGACCCTTGCCCTACCCCCTCCCCACCTCCCCGAGGACATGACCCTATTCTGCCATTACAAACCACAAACTCTATATCTACGAAGGTCTAAAAATGAGAAAGAAAATAAAATACCACACATAACAACAAAGGGAGCAAATAGTAACTACAAGCCTACTACTAGACTGACTAGACTAGTACGAAATACTACGGCAACAAAGTAATTAACACATGAGACAGAGAAACAGGAGGTGAGAGGTACCAATTCCCGCGAATAGAACCTGAAACTTTCGACTTGGTATACTCCCGATGCTCCGGAACCCGGCGTATAGTTGCTGCTCTACTACTTGTGCGTGTGCACCTCCCTACCGCTGCCAAATAGCCACAAAAGTGATACCTGCAAAACACACAAACACCCACGGAACCAAGGGACCATGGTTCAAAGAAATCGCAGTTTATGAACAAATTCGCCGGAGCCGGAGCAAGAGACCGGCGAGGAGTTCTTGAATGCGTAAATGAATCGCAGTGCAATAAAAAAATCCTTGGGATTTTATTTTTCAGATCCCAAAAGATAGCAAACCAATCTTCACAAATCCCTACTATCTAGCCGTAATCTCACACCGAAAACACAAATGCGTAAAAGCTAAAAGCCCAACAAGGAAAAATGAAATTAAAAAGGGTAAAAATTGTATATACACAAAGACACAAAAGATGTATATATAGTATAGTATAATATATATACTAAGTGTATAGTATATAAGCTCTATTCGATATAACATTAGCTGTAGTAAGATGTCTANCTATTTATTATTTACACACACACACAAATATTAATAAATTTATATTTTAATTATTTTAAAATCGATTTTTCGACTGAAATCGGTCAGAAATATTTAATTATAACTTATTTCGGTTGGTTAATTAAATATATATAATTTTTGGTTTGGGCGGGAATTAATTATTTCAAACTTTCCGACCGATTTCGGTCGGAAATTTGGAAGATTTTAATAAATAATTATTTTTGTACATTATATACACGTATGACCAAATATTTGACCAATTTCGACCGAAATCGATCGGAATTTTTATTTTTTTGCTGTCAGACAATTTTTGTTGATTTTTGCGACCAAATACTTTTTCAGACTTATTTCGGTTGGAAAGCCTTGGTCGAAAATCACCTGATTTCTAGTAGTGATTTCAAATAGTAAATATTCATTGGCAAATATAGACAAAGCACACGTAAGCCTTTACTGCTCTAGTTATTTGCTAAGGGAGACTATGTGCAGTTTTCTAAGGTTTCAGGACTGCAAGCTAACTTAAGCAAGCGCTCCATTTATTTTGGAGGAGTAACACAAGAAGTAAGAGGAGAGATCTTATTCTATTTGGGGTTTTCTACTGGTGAACTACCATTCAAGTATCTTGGAATTCCCCTGTCTTCTAAGAAAATCTCTTTAATCCAGTGGCAACCTCTTATAGAGAAAATCATAGCAAGAATTTCCTTGTGGACTGCAAAAAAAACTAACTTATACAGGAACGGTGCAATTAGTACAGACTGTTGTCTTTGGTATGCAAGCCTATTGGGCTCAATTATTCATGATTCCTGTCAAAGTGCTTAAAGCCATTGAAGCTTATTGTAGAAGCTACATATGGTCAAGGTTCCAATGTAATAACCAAAAAAGCCTTGGTAGCATGGGAAAAAATCTGCACACCTATGACAGCTGGAGGCCTGAACCTAATTAACTTCAAACTTTGGAATACAGCTGCTATAGCTAAGTCTTGTTGGGATCTTGCTCATAAAAAAGATAAGTTGTGGATCAAATGGATTCACATTTACTATATCAAGACACAACAATTTTTCAATGTTCAAGTGCCGCAACAAGTTTGTTGGATGGTTAGGAAGATACTTGAAGCTAGACCTATCTTGGAGCTAGTCCAATTCAATACTTCATCAGGAAAGAGCCTAATTAGGATTATCTATATGCAGCTCTTGGGTAATCTTCCTAGGGTGGCATGGAAATGTATGATCTTTAACAATGATGCCAGGCCAAATTTACTATGTGGTTGGCTCTACAGGGGAAGCTTTTAACATCTGATAGGCTGACAAAATGGGGTCTTACTGTGAGTACAAACTGTGTGTTATGTCAGAGGCATGCTGAAACAAGAGACCATATTTTTGCTGAGTGAATTTACTCAATTATTGTGGAACAGGTTACTAAAGTGGTTAAATGGGAAGGCATACAATGCTAGAAGCTGGGGCCATCACTTACAATGAGCTGTGACAAACTCCAAGGGAAAATCTCAAGCAGCAAAGCTATTCAAATTGATATATGCTGAGTGTGTCTATAGCATCTGGATTGAAAGAAACCAAAGAGTGTTTGAGCATAACAGCAGAGGATGGGAAAACATAGCAAAAGAAATTGCATACTTGTGTAATGTTCCAGCCCCCACTAGAATCAGGAGTATAGTACAACATTTAATATTCTAGTTTGGTTACTATTTGTTTAGATGTCACTGTGTAAATTTTCCTTGGATAGCTAGCTGTGTTGGCTAGGCTATGATTTTGTACAGATTGTGGGACTCGTCTAATAAAAAGAAATAAAAAGAAAGAAAGAAAATGATGACAACAAGTTGCAATAATGAAGTGAATGGCTGGAAAAAAAAGTTTGACAACTCGCAAAGCAAATGGCATATGCAAGTATTTTGATTGGCTAAAAGTTTGGCAAGCAACAAGTTGCAATAATGAAGTGAATGGCTGGAAAAAAAAGTTTGACAACTCGCAAAGCAAATGGCATATGCAAGTATTTTGATTGGCTAAAAGTTTGGCAAGCAACAAGTTGCAATAATGAAGTGAATGGCTGGAAAAAAAAGTTTGACAACTCGCAAAGCAAATTGCATATGCAAGTATTTTGATTGGCTAAAAGTTTGGCAAGTTTTGCTATAAATAGCAGGCTTCGTTCTTCATTTAAGACGCACCAAAATAAGAGAGAAGCAATAGAAGTTAGAGAGAGTAATCCACAGATTGTAGTCTGTGAAATAAATAGTGAGTGTGAGTAATATTGTAGTGAAGTGTTTAAATAAAGAGTGTTATTTCTTTCAAAATTATAGTAGTCTCTTGATATTACTAAGTTGTAGCATTAGTGGTAATATTGCTCTGATCGGGTATTGTATTTTACCTCGTTAAAAGAGTTGGTGTCGTTGTTACTCTCTTGTGTTATTATTATTTGTCATGGATATTATTTTTGGGCGGGATTATAATTTTTTCCCGACACAGATATCTTGGTAATGAATAAAATTCCTAATTACCAAAAAAATAAACAAATAAAAATTCCCATAAAACGTAGGAACTAGGAAAATCACCTACGTTAGGTGAAAAATAAGTACCTATGTCAAGAAATTTGAACCATCTCTTTTTTTTTTTTAATTCTTTTTTCTAACATATGCTATAAATCTTGTGACAATGCTTCCTAAATTGGAGTACTTACAAAAACAAACAAGAGAAACACAGTTAAAATATTCTTTAATGGACTTAAAATAAGATGGTGCAGTTTTAGATTTTGGAAGAATTGCATTGCGAAATCAAACTATGTCCCAGAGACACAAACAAATCAATTTCACAGCCCCAAACCCATGCAACATATAAAAATAGATAGTCATATACATATCCCCAAACACACAAACACATCAATTTCAGGAAAAAAAATATATATAATAGAACTAGAACTAAAAAGAGAGTAAGAAAACTGCTTTTTCAGATAGATAGAAGCAGACGGTGGAAGGCTGGAAGCAGCCGAGAGTTGCTGACTTGAGACCAGCTGCAACGAACAGTTGGCAATCGGCAAAAGGATTTTTTTTTTGTTCTTTGCAAGAGCTACTGCCTCCTGATGAAGACAAATTTAAACCTTCACTAGGATTATTTTAATAACTACCTTTTAATTTAAGAAAAAGTTAAAATAGCCATAAAACGACAGCGTTTTTTTTTTTTTTTTTGTCTTTTATAAAAGAGAAAGAAAAAAACTAATAAAGTTTTTGGACTAAATTATCCCATCTTTGGTTTGTAATCCCTCCACTAATTTATCTCACCTGAAAGGTAGGATAAAATAATATTAAGTTTAATAAAATAAGGTATAATAAGATGAGATATTCAACATTAAGTGTGGGCCTAAGTTTATACTATATTTCGTTGGTGGTATAAATTTATCCCGAAATTAAATTTATACCATCAATCAAACATAATATAAATTTTAGACCACACTTTATCTCGCGTACCAAATGATCCCTTATGGTTAGGGATTAGTTTAATATTGTCATTTTAACTATACTAGTATCTATTAACGTGCGTTGCACGTTAATAATGATACGTAATGATTTAAATATTTATTTATATGAATGAATAATAAAATTTAATTAATGAGAGAATTTTTATGTATAATAATACAACAATCATCCAAATGCCGAAAAATATTAACATTAGCATAATACATAAATTTAAAATACAAGGATATCATCAAAACTTACACAAAAGATCAATTTTGTCATGTTAGTTAGATAATTATATATTAGAGTTTAAAAGTATTTAATGTGATGGTATCTTAACGAGCATTTCTGTAACGACCCGACCAGTCGTTTCGAGAGTTATAACCCTGTTTTCCCCATTCCTACTTCTTTTTATATTATTCAACTATATTATGTTATATCGGATTAGTTGGTTCGAGTCCGGAAGGAACTCTGAGTGAAATGAGACACTTAGTCTAATAATTGAAAATTTGAGTTAGAAAAGTGGACCGGATATGGACCTATATGTAAACGACCTCGGATTTGAATTTTGATGATTCCAATAGCTCCGTATGGTAATTTTGGGCTTAGGAGCATGTCCGGAATATTATTTGGAAGTCCGTAGAGGAATTAGGCTAGAAATGCCGAAAGTTTTATTTTTTTAGAAGTTTGATCGAGGGGTTGACTTTTTGATATCGGGGTCGGAATCCGATTATGAAAATTGGAATACCTCTGTTATATCATTTAGGACTTGTGTGCAAAATTTGAGGTCAATCGGACGTGATTTGATAGGTTCCGGAGTTGTTTGTAGAAATTAGAAATTTCAAAGTTCATTAGGTTTGAATTGGGGTGTAATTCATGGTTTTAGTATTGTTTGAGGTGATTTGAGGATTTGACTAAGTCCGTATGATATTTTAGGACTTGTTGGTATATTTGGTTGAGGTCCCGAGGGCCTCGGGTGAGTTTCGGATGGTTAACGGATCAAAAATTGAACTACAATAGCTGTTGCAATTTCCTTCTGTTGGAAATTTCTTCTGCCAGATTCGAGCTCAGAAATCGAGCCAAGATCCAGCCCAGGGTCGAGGGTTACGGTCGAAGGCCGGGTCGAAGACATAATCGAGGGTTAGGATCGAGAACCAGGATCGAGGGCTAGGATCGAGAACGAGGATCGAGGGCCAGGATCGAGGACCTCGATCGAGGCAGAACCGAGGATGTAGAATTATAAAAATAGGGACTTCGTCCCATTTGCCATTTTTGACAAATTGGAGCTTGAGCAGAGGCTATTTTTGATATATTTTCAAGAAAAACTTGAGGCAAGTCCCTTGTGATCATTTCTACTCCATAATATTGAATTATCATCGAATAATCGACTAGATTACATAATTTTGAGGTATAAATCGGAGATTGAAACTTAGAAAATTGGAAATAAGATTTGTAGATTTGAGGGTCGAGTTGAGGTCGAATTTTGGTAAAATTGGTATGGGTAGACTCGTGGTTGAATGGGCTTTCGGATTTTATAACTTTTGTCGGGTTCCGAGACGTGGGCCCCACGGATGATTTTTGAGCCAATTTCGGATTTTGGTCTAATTTTATAGTTTTTCTTGTGGAATTCATCCCATTAGCGCGTATTGATGGTATTGTACTAATTGTGAATAGATTCGGAGCATTTGGAGGTCGAGTCCAGAGGCAAGATCATTGCGGGTTAGAGATTTGACCGGTTTGAGGTAAGTAACGATTGTAAATCTAGTCCTGAGGGTATGAAACCCCGGATTTCGGATCATTCTATTATTTTGAAGTGACGCACATGCTAGGTGACGGGCGTGTGGGCATGCATTATTGGGGATTTGTGACTTGGTCCGTCCCGTAGCAACTGTAAAGTTGCATACTTTGTCGAAACCATTTGATACTTATATGTTTTAGAAAGAATTTCTGTAAATTGGGCTAAATGCCATGTTTGGGCCTTGCGCCAATGCTGTTTGGACCCTTAGGGGCTGTTTCTTACCATCCTCTCACTGTTTTCGATTGAAAATCTATACTGAGTCATGTTTATACTTGTTTACCGCATAACTCAATTTTATGACTCTATTTTAATGCATATAAATGTTTTGGGCCGAATGCCCTGTTTTACTGAAATGCCCGAGTGGCTTGAGTTACTTATGACTGAGTGAGGCCGAGGGCCTGATTGGTGAGGATGAGTGTGGATCGGGGCTGCCCGCCTGCAGCATACTTTATTATTATCGCACGTGAGTTGTCCGTGCAGATTATAGCGCTTGGGCTGAAGGAGCCCCTCCGGAGTCTGTACACACCCCCAGTGAGCGCAGGTACCTACTGAGTGCGAGTGCCGAGTGCCGAGTGCTGAGTGACTGGGAGGCAAGAGTGATTGTGAGGTATGCCCGAGTGGCAAGAGTGATTGTGAGGTATGCCCGAGTGGCAAGAGTGATTGTGAGGTATGCCCGAGTGGCACGAGTAACTGTGATGTTTGCCCGAGGGGCTGTATATGAGTGATGTTTTGCCCGAGGGGCTGTTTATAATTTCATCATTTTTGCTCACCTTTATTTGAAAAACTGTTGGACAAATATCTTTAAATGATTTTTACTGGAACCGGGTTTAAACAAGATGATTTGATTCAAACACTTATTTTTAAAGCATGTTGTACTTTACTGAGATTTCATAATATGAATGTTATATGCTTTATTGCTCGTCACTACTGCTCAGTATTTATTTATTGTTGTTACTTACAAAGTTGGCGTACTCACGTTACTCCCTGCACCTTGTGTGTAGATTTAGGTGTAGCTGGACACGGTAGCGATTATTGAGTGTTTGGGTTGCAGATTTTTCTTGGAGATAGCAAGGTAGCTGTTTGGCGATCGCATCCCCTGCTCTTGNATGTTTTGAAGGATCTTTCACGTTGTTAAATTTTGGGGCAAATTAAATTCTCATGTCTATCAATGAGTTTGAACTCAAGAAGAGTAAGTGGTTGTGTAGTAATGGTGGTTGTGAATGGGTATTTTGATGTTGATGGCTCGAGAAAGATAATCTTTGAAGAGACTTAGAGTCGGTAACATTTTATTGGTTCAGGTGCAACAGAAATACATTTCGATTTGATGCAGCAGTTGGGTATCAAAATATGAGGGAAGACATGACGGGATGTGTTTCGCGGTGGTTGAAGTACTAGCAGGACAAGTAGAATAAGTAAAGGTTGAGAAGTTTCTTAAAGGAGATGATTTAACCGAAGTAAGAGTGGCAGATTAGCATATGAATTCACTAGTAGGGTAGTCATGCGCCTTAAGAAAGTGTAGAATGGTTTGGAATCGTGTTACTATGTGAATCAGCCTACATACTCTATTTGGAGCGATGGTTAATGTAAAAAATAAAGAAAAAAAAAGGAGTGTGTTTGAAATGAATAGAGGCGTGAAGATCTGATTATTGTGTCAGGGGTAATATGACTTGAGTTCGGAAGGTATTGTTGAC